CGGCTCGCTCCTGGCCCACTCCCAGCTCGCTCCACTTACGCAGCTAACTCGCTTCAGCTGCATCGCTGAATGTTACCATGGGACAGAGGTTAGGAAAGCAGCTTAAAAATAAAAGTGAATGAAATCAGGCATGCCAGAAATGCGAAGCATGAAACTGGAAACTGAACTGAGACCACTGTGAAAATTTAATCTCAGGAGCATTTTTTCGTTTTCCCCGGAAGAAGCCTTAAGTTTACAGATATGCAAAGAGGCTCAAATTAATAACAAGCTACTGCAAGCTGTGTATCTCCAGCTTTCATCACCTTTTGTACCTCAGCAAATCTCTGTAAGGTTTACTTGGGGGTTTTTTTGTTGTTGTTTACAAAAATGCCTTGCATGCAAAGAGATTTTTTTTCATCCTTTCAAGAACATGTAATACACAAAATCATCTATTACCTCTGTTCCCAAAAGCTCATTATCAGACAGTTATAAGAGGTTCATGCTTTCATCTTTATTACCTTCACTGTTCACCCATAGTTTGTTCCTCCTTCAGTGGTGGGAAACTAATGAAGGATGAAGGAATTCAGATGCTGGGTTGATGGTTGGACTTGATGATCTTAAAGGTCTTTTCCAACCTTAATGATTCTGTGATTCTGGGGACATGAAATCTCTACTGACACATATCTATGTAACCCCATTTTCATCACATGTGATCTACCATATAGCATATATCATAACACATTTCTATGAACACTCCTCTCAGTAGGAGACCATTTTTTCTTGAAGGTACCTGTTTTTCCAGCAATAAATTGAACCAAAGAACTCTACTAACCCTAATCAGACTCTGGGAAGCTGCCTGCTCTCCACAAAGGAAAACAGAGCATTGATCCCTGAATAGCTGCACAGCACATGGCAGATTTACTTGCATCGGTCAGAAAGAGCAGGCTCTTGTGGAAACCGCACCGAAGCTAGTAAGTCCTGCTCGTGAGCTGGCCTGTGGGAAAAGCGGCTTAGTTCCAACACATCCACTGCTGTAGACACACAGGATGTCTGAGAAACATCTGCCCCGCTTGCTGCTACCCCTGAGCTGCCAAGGACGCCCGTCAGGCACGGGCACACTAACAGAAACCAGCCCCAAGCAACAGCGTTTCCTGAACTGTTCTTTCGATTACAAACACCACCGCCGCTCCTTTCATTAACGAGGTTCAACTGCAGGCTTGCTAAACACGTATGCTGGGACAAAACCCTGACTCTCATCTGACAAATTGCATTTGTTCACTTCTCAGGGAGACTGTTCTGTGTCTCCATGACACAATGCTGGTAAAGCTAACAAAGAGGAGACCTTTATTAGATGTCATTAACTATAAAAGAGACTCTAGTTCCTAACACTTTTTTTTTTTTCCAAAATCCTGTTCTCCTCTCCAACTATTACTCTGTGGAAGGCTTGTGATATAGTAGTGAAGTAAGAAAAGGGAAAGTATAAGGCAAGATTTATTGCCTGGAATTTTTAGAGCTGTGACCTGTTATTTCAGATACCCAGGTTTGGACTGAAACCTCATTGTGCTGGCAGTCAATGCACACATATTGGAAAAAAAAGGTGTACCCTCTTCCCTTGAGGTTACAATATAAATGAAATCCAATTAAAAAAAAAAAAAAACAACAAACAGAACAAAGCAGTGCCTGACTACATTTTGGTAACATCTAAACAAAGAATTGGTTTGCACATGGTTTTATTCATATTTATTCAGATCGCTGTAGTAACCTAAAGGATGAAGGAATTGCAAAGGAAAGGAGATAATCCCTCACCATACAGTTTCTATAATCTTAATACTGGGCTATATAATAAAAAGGATTATCTTAGTTTGATAGCAATATTTTTGGTTTGGTATTGAAGGACATTCTGGATGGTAGAGATCTGCAGCGTCGTTGTTGGCAAGCAGCTGGAATCGCAGCAATGACGCAATTCATGTGTAGCTGTCAAACAAGGGACCCTCTCACTGTGTTAGTTGGATTCCTTCTTTGTTTTTATTGTTCTGATCCAATTAGTCACTGCTTTCAAGTTAAGAGATCCAACTGCCTAACTGGACTTAAAGAGAGACAAGAATAACAGAAACCAAAACCGGTGGTACAAGAGGAAGAATAGGGGATTTTTTTAAATGTCAAGTGCCTCAGTAAGTCAAATGCATGTTTTAACTAAACCTTAATTGCACCAAAACAACAGAAAGCAATCAGAAAGGGCCTGTTTTGATTCATTACATACCAGAAAAATGAGAGATGGAACTGTTCTAATCCAGGAATCTGTCACTATGAGTAAGCTCCCAGGGAGCCTGTTTTACTTGCCTTGTATCACAAAACATGGAAGAGACAGGTCTATAACCAAACCAACCCAGCTGCTATCTGCTATTTCCCCTTTATTCAGCACTGGTGAGGCCACACCTGGAGTGCTGGGTCCAGGTCTGGGCTCCCCAGTACAAGAGAGACATGGGCATACCAGAGAGAGTCCAGCAAAGGGCCACTACGGTGATGAAGGGACTGCAGCATCTCTCCTGTAAGGAAAGGCTGAGAGAGCTGGGACTGTTCAGCCTGGAGAAGAGCAGGCTCAGGGGATCTCATCAATATAGATAAATAACAGAAGGGAGGGTGCAAAGAGGACAGAACCAGGCTCTTTCCAGTGGTGCCCAGTGCCAGGACCAGAGGCAATGGGCACAAACTGAAACACAGGAGGTTCCCTCTGAACATCAGGAAACACTTTTTCACTGTGAGGGTGACCGAGCACTGGCACAGGTTGCCCAGGGAGGCTGTGGAGTCTCTCTCCTTGGAGATCTTCAAAAGTTGCCTGAACAAGGAGACAATTCACTGATTCAGGACATCCCATTCAGATGCTGGTTATGGTGCAAGAGAAGGGATGCCGTATTGTGGTTTGACATAAGGCTCCTTACATTATGTCTAAATATCAAACATGCCTTCAGACAAGGCTGGGGCGCAGAACAACAGGTCCAAAAAAGCTGAGATGCAGAGATGCCCTTGACCTTCCTGATAGCAAACTGCTGCTGACACAACAACAATGGCAAAACTGCTTGTGCCCAACATAAAACAGCAGAAAATCCTTGTGGATGTATTCTAATCTGTGTATGCCTCCAGGTGCCATCCACTTCCTCACAGCTGGTAAAGTTAGAAAAATACTGAGTTATGAAACACACTGAATTATGAAATACCATTGTCTACTTTGCTGAGTACTGGTATGTGCGTACTTCTATGTTAACTAACACGCAGCTTACCCTTCTCTGTACTGGTTTATGGCTCAGTTTATCACAGAAAAAAACCTACTTTTTAAATGTAGAAGACAAGAACAGCAGAACTGAACATGTTTGTCCAGAGAAGATTCTCCTACAGGGTATGTCTACACCGCCCAATGCAGCTGAGATCTCTGAGCTGCTGCCAGCACAGGTAGCTCAGACATCAGACCCTGCATATCCATGGTAAGGTAGAGCATCATGCAAGACATTCACTCTGAACCAAGTAGCCGTACTGCTTCTCCTATCAGATCTAGCCTGTTGAAGTGGCTTTGATGGCCACAATGCTGCACTGCCTTGGAACTAGAGAATGAAGTATGTATGTGTTTTACTAAACCTCAAAATGAAAGCATGCTTTTTTGTTACATGAACAATAACATTCTTAGATGTCTGAGTTGAAGAGTTCCCCACCAAGTAAATGATTTGAAGCTATCAAATGATTGACCATGAGGATTAGGAGAATGTTTATCATGTAGATATTCAAGCTGCATTTATGGGTAGTGCTGCTTCTTTATTACCATTTTGATAATAAATTTGTATTTTATCTCTGCATTAAAAAAAACACATAGGGCTCGGGCTGCAAACTCCTGAACCATGCTTTATAACATGCTGGTGTTTCTCAATTTCTGACAACATTACAGTTTAAGCATACTGATTTTTATACTGATTTCAAATAGTTGATGTACCCCAACGCTTTTGAGAATTTTGCCATTACCATCTCTCACCTCTTTTCTCAATAAGAACAATTAGGTAATGGTGTAAAGAAGTAATGCTACTGCAGACTTTCAGAACAGCTGTGTGAATAGATGCCTATTTCGATTCATGCTATGTATTTACTGCAAATGCTATTGCTTCCTGCAAAAAAAAATCATATACTCTTACAATTCCAGTGTGAAGGTTATGTGTAACACAGCAATAGTTTGCCTTGCCTTCAATTTAGAAATAGATTTAAATTATATAGCCCTTTTTCACAAACAGAAGACTACAACCTTCTCATTAGCCAGTCAGAGACATTCTGACTTACCATTCAGTTCAATTAACTGCTATCTGAAATTTACGTTTTAATTCCTAATGATTTTCATTTCTTCATCTATGCCCACAGGCTGTCACAAACATCAATAGAAGGTAGACAATCAAAGCATTCCACCCCCTTCCCATCCCTGTTCTCTCCTTCTTCAGCCCACTATGCTCAGACGAGGATGTATCACCATGCTCCCCCCTCTACAGTCAGGCCCTCTGCACTAAGCTTTAGCTGTAGGTATTAAGAACACAAAGGAGTAAACCAGCTTTCCATCAGCTCGTGACTTTTAGTTGCTGTTTTTCCTTGCTCTAGGATCAGGGTTTGACAGCAGTGTAGTAACACCCAGCAACATGCAATGCAAAACATTCTCTGTGTAAACAGAGCCTGTTTTCTTCCTCCCTTGCTTCCCATTTTTCCTCTTTGTTTTTCACTTGTCTTGTTCACTGCCCCTCTGTAGTTCTGTTTTTCCCCATTTGATCATCTCATTTCCTTCTCCACACTTCTTCTACACTGTCTTCCAAACCTCAAAACGTTAAGAGTCCAAAGCTGAGCCTTAAAAGCAAGATACTCAAATGGATCTGATACCCATCAACCTAGCCATAAAAAAAAGGCAGACACTGTCTCAGATGTAAAACCAAAGGGAAAAATATCACTTCAGACAAGTTCACATGCTTCAAATGCTTATTCTGTTCTTCTGTTTAAGCTACATGAAGAAGGCAATTTTGGGGAAAAGCTGATGTACAAAATAAGAAAGAAAATAAAAGCTCATGATCAGGCTTCTGAGGAATTACCTTCCAGTGAAACAGCTTCTCACAACTTTTACCACACTGTCTTCCTTCCAAATATCCCTCACTTTTTTTCAAATGTCCTTCCGTGCATTTCTTAATGTGACAGCCTAAATCCCTCACTCCCAATACCTTCCTACATCCACCATCTTTTTCATGACAGCCTGCTTCATTCTCAATATATCTTTAAGGGTTATGATCTAGTTGCTGTCTTGATGATGACCCAGCAAGCGCTGGAGGACATTCATACAACTAGTAAGGGGTTCAGAAGCAGCACACACCACTAATGTCAATAGCACATGCCCAAGTGATTCCTCTCAAATAGGGACTGTAGACCTAAAACACTACTATGGTGATAATAAACGAACCTATTCAGAAATAATGTCTATAATCCCTTCAGTATTTTCATAATTTTCATGAGCAGAAAAGAAAACATTTTGAAGCACCAACTAAACTCTGAGCAACCTACAGAGGATACTGTTCTTATTTTCATGTAAAAATCACTGAAGCCTGTTCTAATGCATTTTTCCATCCCTCGAAAAGGTGGGGTACTACATAAGCTTCATAATAAACTAGATGTAAAACCAAAGGGCCATACAGTAACAGCATGTGTTTACAAAACTCACCGAATTCTCATCTGAACGTGTGGTTTCTCCAGTACATCAGCCACCAGCATTTTTTACGTTTCTTTATCAGGCTTATTAGAAAAAACTGTTTTTGCCACAGATGATTCCAAGATACTTACCCAGTCGTGTAAGGTATATTTATTCCCCCTAGATTAATGCTTTCACATCCAACAATGAAAAGAGTTGAAAAGCACAGCAGAGAGACACCACTGCAGATCATAGCCAACTTTGCAGACTCTCTCGCACCAAGTTTCAGTTTTTTTATAATGTAGCCGCCTAGGACAATACCAACACCAGCACTAGGGACAATAATCACACCTGTGGAGAAGAAATTCGAGCAACGTTAGAACAGGACCTACAAAAATTGAATAAAACATAAATATTGATTTAATTCCCTGATTAGATGGCTGCAAATGCTGTACTAAGATCTCTATTGTCTGCTAGCAAAGTGAGTCAGACTTTTCAAACCTCTGGAGTGTTGTCAAAGAACTAATAAAAGCCTCCTTATGATATTACCAGCAGCCAAAGCTCTATAAGAGAACTATTGTACTTACAGGCAGAAACGTTGCTTTGTATTTATTTTAGAATGGGGAAAAGGAATACACATTACTCCAGTTCAATTACTGAAAATTTGAAGAAATCCAGATACGGACACGAATCTTCCTCTTCCTACTCTCATGATTAATTCCAGGGAAGCACAAGTGTGCCCACCTGGGAGTGCGTGTGTGAGCCTGGCTGCAAATTCTGCCTTCTGGATACTTTAGGCAAGTTGAACAGCACTTTCCTACATCAGCAGCCCCATTCATCTCAGCACAGCCACGTGAAGCGTAAACTGATCAAACATGATGTAAGAAATTAAGATACTAGAATCAGTATTTAGGATAAGTTTAAGGCACAAAAGACACGCCTATGAAATTTCTGTCGCTCTGCTGCTGCGGTTATAAGGTGGCGATTCAGCAACCTGTCACCGGGCAGCCCTCAATTCCCAGGGCCTGAGGTGGTTTCGTCAGTGAATGTCTTGCACTTGTTGCTTCCCTTGGCTTTTGCTTCTCACTGGCAGGTGAGAAGGTGTTTAAATAAGGTCTTTGCTAATACAGATGCATTCCACATAAATATGGAATTTGAACAACTTTTGGCAGCTGCCTCTAGGGAGAAAAAGCTAAACTTTATAATCCAAATTCCTAAAGATGTTGGTCTTCTTTTTAAAGAAGCTAGTAAGATTATCGCTTGCAAATATCTTTAAATTATTGCAAAGCACTCTCATTCACTGATAACTTGTCTAAAGGTGAAGGGGACATCATATTTATCAAAATGTTGAGATCGTGAAAGTAAAAGTAAGAGGTAAAAATAGTTGCCACCTTAATTATACTGCCATCACAAATGGCATTATAAAATAAAATGTCATTTCATGAGGAAGATTCTTAATAACAACCCTTCATACACACAAAATCAGTCTTTCTCATAAGAGCAGAATTTAAATGTGTAAGTCCTTCTAGGAGAATTAAATGATTTTCACAAAGTTCAAAGCTGTTACCTCTCTCAAGCTGTTGTATCTCTCACTTTCAATGACTGAATATGAATGAGGGAAAGAAATAATGCAAATCCTCTCACTTGCACTGAAAATGTCTCTCTGGGTGAAAATGGTAACTCAGCCATCTGAGTCTACCAGGCATGTCCTGCTCTACGAAATCTGTGTCAGAAATCTGGCAGACTGGGATCACTTGCAATGCCTTCTAAACCATCCCTGTCAGGCAAACCATGGACCAAATCTGTGGCTACAGCAGTTATAAGAACTAAGGATCTAGCCCAAGTTAAGGGCTTAGTGATGATAAATTAACCTCAGCATTCTTCTTAATTCCACCTTAGCTTTGAGTTCTTAACTTCTTTTGGACCTGAATTTACCTTTTCTTTCTTATTCTCCAGAGGACACATATATTGGAAAAGCCTTTCACTAGAACTGAGACTGTGTGTGTCTACATCTAGTACCTTGTCAAAACTGAGCATGTAAATGTTTTGTGAGGCATCTGGTTAGTGGTTCTTCCATTAGAGAGTTATACTGCACTGCTGTTTTCATCCATCCTCTGCCACACCATGAAGATCAGGACATAAAAAATTAGGAGACAAACACAAGCAAATTGCCTGTTGATGCTCGCGCTCATCAGGACATAAAAAATTAGGAGACAAACACAAGCAAATTGCCTGCCGATGCTCGCGCTTATTCTGGAGGATGGAAAGGTAAAGGAAAGCCTACACAGAAGAAGTATAAAGACCAATTCCTCCATGCAAACTGAAGATGGAGATGGAAAAATTCTCTCTCTGGGAGGAACTGGAAGGGCAGGAGCAGATTCCATTCTTTGTGGTGAAGGCAGCAGGGAGAAGCGCTCATTCCCTCCTGTGTGTCAGGAAGCCTGACAGGTTCCTTTGCCCCGAGTACAAACTCTTCATCCTTATGCCGCGCTCTTTCCGCAGGGGATGTGAAATCAGAAGTGATGCACTGTCAAAGCAGCACAGCGACTACAGTGCGCTTCCAGGCGAGCTTCCAGGGCAAAGCAAAGCGTGTACGTCTGATCAGGACATGCATTCTTCTTTTTCAAAGTCATTGAGAGATACTAAGCTGTTGTACTGAACTCTCCTTCATTTTACAATGACAGTTTGGCTTACAGGGATTGTGCGTGTGCCAAATACACTCCTGGGTACAGTGCTCCGAGGCAGTATCGGCTTTCAGTCAGCAATTTTCAAGCTTTGTCCTTTTTGCCGTTGTCAGGATGCTGCAGCACTTGAGGCTTTTCACAGCGGCAAAAGATGATCTTAACAGGTACTAATAGCCTGGGAACAGAAAACTGCAATATCTGCTAAGCGGGTTACGCTAAGAGAAGACCGTGGAGATTTTCAAACCAATTCTGCCTAACATATTACACCTTTTCTAAAACTAAATGTAGATCCAATCTGTTTGTAACCATTTTACCAGAAGTCACCAGAGTGGTGTTTTATAATATACAGTGTGCAGTTCTTCAAATTACAAATTATTTCCATTGTATCTCTTTCTTACAAGTAAAACTGCTAGCAAAGCACCTGAAAGTTTACCCTGGATTTGTCTAAGATCTATCTGTAACTTAGAGTCAAAGACCAACTTTTTTGGACTTGAGAAAGCCTGAAGGCTGAATGCCAACTGCTCTGCACACAAAAAAAAATTCCAAACAAGACAAGACTGCAGCACAAGCTGCACAAGTTCAAGACATGAAGTTTGGCACATGGCATTTTTGCTGATGATTAATGCCAGGTTTGTTTAAAAATAGAAACAAACTGAGACTGCTTATGAACTGAGATGGAAATGATGAATAGGAAATTTACATCAGTCACATGGAGAGATTCGTCAAGCACATGTACTCAGCTGGCAATGTACATATGAAGTATAAATGTAGTAATATAAATAACATGTAAGTCCTCCTTTTGCTAACCGGAAGTTTCTAAACTGGACATGTCTTTTACTAGATTAGCCAGAGCAATCTAACACAGAATATCCAAGTCTCCTTTTCCCATTTTTCCTACAAAAAGAATTTATAAAATTATTAACAACTGTTGACTTTAATGCTAAGTTTAGGAGCTGGGGTTGTGGAAGCAGTGCTCACTTGTCCGTGTTGCACATCCTGCCTGAGTTATTTCATCTTCTTTTTCTCATTCATTATAATAGTCTTTATCAAGCTATTTATAACAGGCAAAACAATACGTTTTAATTGCTTCACACCCTGGACAGGGTCACATCATTTTTTCCTCTTCTAATGTACTGGCTGTTGAATATTTTGTCTGGCAAGAATGTTTCTGGTTTATCCTGAAAATGAAGCAAGTTATGGAGCAGCAATCCCATCAAGACTCATTACAGCAAAACTCCTATGCCTGTGTAGCTGCCTTAAGCTTCAGACAGAATCACAGTCCCATCAATCAATGTTTCCTCCTTATATACAGAATGCAGGGATTTCATGCCCTGAAGAAAATCTCATCCCAGCAAGCTCTCAAACAGAAGTCACCACATGGTGCTTCTGATGTTTCCCCTCAGCGCCTCTAGAAAGACTCCTCACGTTTCTTCCAGCCACTGCAGGTGACAAATGATTCCCGTGTGAGGCCTCTGCGCCTTTGTCTCTCTTTCTTCTACCACTTTTTGTCTTTTCCTTGACTGATGCCCCTGGGCAGCTTCAGCCCATACTTAATCCCCGTTCCCACAATCCACTATCCACTCCATCGCTGCTTCTCAGGTACAGTATCTGGAAGTATGGGGGAGCAAAGAACTAATCTACCGGTTAACAGCTATTCTATATGGGAAGCACTATAGAGAAGGCAGAAAAGATGCTTAAAAGCACAAAAGAAGAAAGAGGTATTGAGACAAGTGTCTTTGATGCAGCTAGGAGAGAACGGAGATGATCTGCATGACATGGGCCCCAATTCTGCACAACGTTTTGGCCCCTTTCTCTGGGGAAGTTCCCATCCCTCCCTCCTGAAAAGCAGTATGAAGCTTAAAATTTTATAGTTTGTAGCTCTGTTAGAATTTGGACTTGGCTGCACATTGCCACAGCAGCAGGGGAAGTGCCACACCTGCAAAAGAGGGGCCTCAGACCTGCAATGGCAGGTGGGAGAAGATTCGGGGAGCTCTCTGGCTAGACTAGATCATTGAGCGCTCAATGTTCATAAGTAAATAGGCAGAAGACCACCAGCCTGGAGGGGAGAGATAACTGAAGGATGGGACAGATAAACAATACGTCACTGGGGAAAAAAGAAAGATTAGGATATTTTGAAGATCAAAGAGGAACTAAAATTCACAGAAAATAAGAACAGCTTTAAAATATCTTTTAAGGCACACAAATCACAGTAATGCCTATAGGTTTTCTAGCTTTGTTTTGTTGCCTTTTTGCCCCTTGAAGACCATTCACGTATTAGAAAATATCTGTTTAGGCTTACATAAAGGACCCCAGCCTTTTAACAATATAAATGGTTCACATTTTACTAAACACATGTAGCAAACATCAAAAAACAGCCTGAACATCTAGCCAAATGCACAAAGCTGGATCCAATCACCTGTTCTAACAAGCATGGGTTTGGTTCATTCCTGTATTGATTCATTTCTTTAGTCAAAGAACGCCAATCATTTCAATGTTATACTACGTGGCAATGCCTTACCAGTGTAGATGCTGGCATTGGAAGCTGGGATGCCAAACTGTGACTCGATGAACTTGGGAATGAAGGTAATAAAAGCTGTGACAATGGCACTCTCAGCTGTGTATGACAAACTCACAAAAAGGAATGTCATGTTGCTTAAGATCCTGACAGCTGCTCTTGGAAGCTCTATAAAATGACAAAAATTACAAACAAATGTTATAAATAATGAGCGAGAAACAAAAGCAAACTGAAACAAAGCAAATTGATTTTCTTTGAGATGGGCTGGCAATAATGGCTTGCTAGCATCTGGCTACATTTGCTAAGCGGAAGGGAGAGTGCATATTTGGGATTGCGGTCTTCGCTGTCTGCTCTTACCCTATCTCACTGCATTGCCCCGGGGCTGCAGTCCCACTTTTCACGAACACAACTGAGGTCTGTTTTAACAAAACCATCTGAAGAAACAGGGTCTACATAGTAACACTATAGAGGAAAGGAAAACAGCAATAAAATGTAGTTGTTCTGGAATTATTCTGATGTCTTATTTTGAAATGTTCAATGAGATAACACATATCACACTGCTGAGCCAACAGTACTGAGTTTTGCATTCCACAGGAGGAAAATGGATCACATATTCCCCCTGTAACACTCTGCTTCAAGGACCATGTTTGGAAAGCTGGGTTAATAATACTGTAATTTGAAAAGGGAACTAAAAGATTTTTAATTAAACATTTTTCTTCATGGTTTAAAAGTATTTACAATAGATGCAGACAAAGAGTACTGAAAAAATGATGTTAATGGTACCAATGAATCTCAACATATCTTACATACAAGTCATTTAATATTCTCAGGAGGGATAAAACAATCAATTAAAAATGAGAGCACATCATTAACTTAAATTGAAAAAGTATTCATAGATGTTGCAATTATCCTCAAATCAAATATCAAAACCCCATGAAATTCAGTACTGTAATTAAAAGAAACATTTAAATACATTTAATTCCATCCTGTAGTGATATAAAATTATCACAAGATGATAACTCTATTCAAGACTTAATTTTTTCAGATTAGATGACGTGATTTTAAACTTTTTTTTTTTCCTTGAGCTTCTACCAAGATCAGATTTTCTGTTCAAGTATTATATCTAACCTACTATGGTTTGGGTTTTTTCATTTGCTTTTCACTTCGTGCAGAAATTGAACACTGCTTGAATCAAAGCCCATTGAAATCAATGACAAGAGCGTCCATTAGAAAAACAACATGTTGAGTAAGAACTCCTGAGTATTTTATTGATGTTAAAAGTTGTCAAGTCAAAAATCTGTCTCACTTTCTCCATTGACTCCAGTAGGTTATCTGTATAAAAGGAAACATAATTTAGACTCTTGTCATGTCAAAACTTGTCAGGCTACAAATTAGCACCTAAGTTGTCTGACTGCATCCAGTCTTAGCGTATGCCAGTCGTCAAAATTTATACTGAATTCATTATGAGTACAGGGTTTATAATTTTCATGTAGTCAAATACTCTCTTGCTGCCTCTATAAAGAAACATAGTAAATGCTAAATACAAAATCTGGTGGAAGTAAGTAATGAATAAATCATATTAAGAAGCTCTCATGCATTTAAATCTTAATGTTTTTTACAGCCTACAGCTTTTTTTTAAAAAAATGTGGCACAGAAAGAAACCAGATAACAGGAGCATGAGACAATATAGTATCAACATGAATCTATGGAAACTGTAATGCAACTGTACACCTTCAGAAGCTACGTTACAGGAGCAAGTACAAAGATAAAATAGTGTAAGTATTTATTGGCAAATATGCTGCACGTTCAAAATACTGCTGATCAAAATTTGTCTCATTGTTCAAAAGGAAATGAAAGAGAGAAAAAAATGCAAGATCTACAATACCATCAGATGTCAGCCCTCAAACCCCATCAGCTTTGGCTTTGTGTCTATTTTGGGGTTGGCTTGGGTTAGCTGATGGGAGCTTAGGTGCTGAAAGAAACCAAAGGGCAAAGAGCCAAGATGGCTCTAACCCAGCTTTTGCAAAGCCTCTCATGGGCTAGAGGATGCAGTTTAAGAAAAGGGCTGCCCATAGGGCTGCAGCAGGGCAGCTATAGCAGGATTTCCCCAGGGACAAGGTGCAAGATTGAGTGCTTCTGCCCCTGCAACAGCAGCAAGCACTTATGACCGTGCTGCTGCGGTGAGAGGGGAGTCGGGAAACAGAACAAGGGGCTGCCAGGATCCGTCCTGCTGGAAACGGAGCTATTCGGTGGCAGCTGCTCACCTGTGCTGAAAACACGTGGAAGGAAATGAGACAGTAACTTTCAGAAGACTGGACATCACAGAGCGAAATATCGTTTTATGAGGATGATGAACTAAGTGCTCTTTGTAGAAATGAACTGGAAGTCCTTGGCCAACGGCTGAGTCCAAGATCTTTGCTAAATCCATTATTTTAAAGTGCCTGGTCCAAATATCATAATACCTGGTGAGGTTTGGCTCTTCCTGGTAAAACGGAACTTCAGGAAAAAGTATGATTTAGAATTTTCAATCTAAAGATACTGAAGAACTAATTAGGTAAAGAACTGCAGAGCTAACGAACATTTTGCTCTGGTGTTCACATGTAGAGCTGTACTTTCTGTTGACTCCTACTTACATCTCATCTGAGCACTCACTCTAAAGGTCATTATTAATTTCAAAACTAATTAGTATTTTCAAATTGGGTTTCTACTGATAAATAGATAAAATGCTTCGAATAAGCGTAAGTTCTTTTACACCCGCGTGAAGGATTCTTCAGGGAACAGCTCTGCTGATTACTGTAATTTTTGGCATGAAATAAAACAGCGATTATTCCTGCGTGCTGCCCTAATACATACCACCTGGAGCAGTTGAGATTGAAGCTCTTTATGACTTATAAAGAGCAACTGTCTGGCATACAAGGAGAAGTTGCTATATAATAAGAAATTTGCAAATAAAAATACATATTCAGAATTAGGCTTTCCCTGATTTCCTCCTATGGTTATAGATAAATCCCGTGTGACAGAATCTGTATTACACTTCTCAATTTAAAAACCTATAATAAAAAGGTACTGTAAGTATCCTGTGTCTTTCAACCACGCTAATTCTAGTAAAAAGCAAGAATGCTAAAAACTTTAAGGATCCTTTGTACTACATAATCAATCGTGCATTTAAAACATTTCAATGTCACAATATTTTTGTGTGACTAGTCATAGGCCGAGGCTTTGGTTTCAAGGCCATTATTAAACCTGTCAGGTTCTGATTTTTAGGAGGTTTTCAAAAAACATCTCTTGTTTTTTCAAGCGTGCCTCAGAAACAAATCTATGAGAACTTGCAGTTCTCCTCATGCTGTCATTTGAACAAATAAAGCTCTATCAATTACATTCCTAAAACTGAAATTATCTTTAATTAGTATGGCTGCAAACACATTTACTCTTCTGTGCAGTAATACAAATCTTAGACATCCTCATCTTCTTTCTTTTTTTTTCTTTAAAAAAAAAAAAAACTAATGTGTAACTAAGCATAAATTGAAACCTGCCTTGCTGGACTGGTTTGCTAGTCTACTGGCAATTTTCTCCCCTTCATGGTCTTTGACAATATTTTTTCTCTAGTCGTTATTCATTTTCTTTCACTCATGTGCTAGACCACTGCTTGATTCATGGTAAGAGAAAAGCATAAGAAAAATCTGCAAGCAATACAAATATCTGTAAATACTGCTCTAAGCAAAACTCTTAAAGCACTGTAAACAGAATTTCAATAAAAGCTCAAATAATTCTGACTTCATCTCCTTTTTCATAATTTAATGCATTTTCTTTTATCCCTGCTCCTGTGCATCTAGCCCAAAGTGGTGCAATGTATACAATCAGGGGAATAAACCATTCCCATCTACAGCACTGTCCTCTTGTAGTCCACCAGCGATGCCCCTTGTAAGGGTGACGCAGGTGTTGGCCAAAGGACCTCCTTTCTGCTGGTGCTCGAAGCCTGGACAGCACTATCCAAGTCCGCAGCTTTGATGGAGGCTGCCTCCACACTGAGGTCTCAGGGGCTGCTTCTGCTCTCAGGCCAGTACAAAGCAGAGCCCAGATCTGAGAGACAGAATTTCTGATTTGTTTATCAGAAAGGAAATGAACCTTTTCAGTCACACACGACTACTTCAAATATATTCTGCATGGAGCTAATCACTAAATTCTAGAATAATATTTTGCCATGTATTTCATTTCATTATCTACTCACATACCATTTAAACAACCTCATTCAACTCAATTCCTCAAGCATTTTCAGGACATACCTTAAGTACCTGGGCATCGTAGAATCATAGAACAGCCCGTAATAGTCCATCAAGAGTAAGGAGGTTCAGAGTGAGTTTGATGTGATTATTACTTTTGCTAACTTGATTTAGAGCAGCTCCTGGAGGATCCAGCTCACACTGCTCATTGCTGCATGGGGCCATGCCAACCTTTTCTATTTTGAGCTCTTCAAGATGGCCTAAGAAAGGGCGAGGGGGGAGCAGCTCGCTCAAGGTCAGTGGCACAGCAGGATCTCCAGCCCACAGTCTGCTGAACTCTCTGGCGTTTACGGTGCCCACCAAGCACCCACGCACACAGACCACTGTCTCCTCCTCTAATCTGATCCCTGCCAACTAATCTTTAGGAACTGCAGAAACTCCAGTCTGGATCCTCCGTGGAGCACTTCAGTGGACTTGTGCTACAACCACGAGCCCCTCAGGACTTTCTTTTACCTTTGCTGATGCCCTGACAAGCGTTGTTATACTGTCTTAGTCCCCAGCAGGGTCTGACTGGGAAGGGCACACGACAGCTGGCAGACATGAAAAGGCAGACAGGACCGTTACACATTTAAGAAAGGGCTGGGTTCAGAGATAATACTGGTTTACTTATACGTATGCAGCGACAAAACTCAAAATGTTAAAAAAACCCCAAAGACTATAAAACACGTGTAATTAATTAACACCCTTTGGATTAGATCAGCACATTTTAGGTAAGACATACATTTGCTTTCTTTACACTGCTCCATTATGCAATTACACAGTCTATTTCATTATATTGTAAGTAAAGGGGACTGCAGATACAATTTCCACAGTACAAAACCTTAAGGGTATCCATGTAATAAATGCAAACAGTAGTTTTTTCTGCTCACGTTCATGATTTATCTGCATGTATGGGATTGAACCGCGGCTGCTTCATTATAAATCTCCTCTAGTTCATGTTAATTACACTACCTCTACTTCTCCCAGTAAACTACATCCAATTTCCTTCCTCCTGTGACCTCTTTAACGTTTTATTTAATACTTTTGAAACGTGCCTCAGAAATAGTCTCCCTCTCATGTTGTTTACTTCCAACATAAATAGGAAAAGACTGAATTCCAAGCCCTTGCACCTCGAAATATGAGAAAAAGCAAAGCTATATCTGTATTTTCATCTGTTCCTGGCTCTACCATAGGCCGAAATAAAGCTCAGGTCACTGAAGCTGGAAGCTATTTGAGGCTGGAGCCAGTTTTATTTTATTTCTTCAGCCTATACTGGCCGCCATGGCAGGAAAAATGACCCCGGCACTCTCCCGTCATGCCTTTTTGATTCCTTTTCATTCATCTAGAGAACCAACTTACATGAAATTAGGACAAGTTACAGCACAACAAGAATCATTTTGCTGAGTTCCCAGGTAAGACAACATCATACCAGAAGATCAAAAAAACCATTTTTTTCCCTGAGACTTTCCTTACCAAAGCTGCACGGATTTTACAGATTTAATGGCACTGACCTCTGTCGTGGCAGACTATGACATCACTGATATTTATTAGTACAGAACAGAAGATGTGACCTACTAAATCATCAGTCTCCCAGCTACTGCCTAAGTGGAGTTTCTGTCCATCATTCCATAAAAAGATGAAGCCCTGACATTCAGTGGTTAGTATAAAATGTACATTGCATCTCAGAAGAAGGAATGCTAAATGACTTTTAGACACATGCGATCCTTTTTTCCTCCGCATTATAAATGAAATTACCACAACCAAGAAGCTTGAGGCATGATCTCATTCCATAAAGCCCACTTAAACTTGAAAAATAATTAAATGATAGTGCATTCC